AGTTAGAACTTAAAACTGTCTTAAGAGGCACATTAAATTCTGCGTTCTCATTGAAATTCAAGTAAGAGTTCAAAGTCACATCTTACACGCGATGCTAGAAGGGGCGCGCCTTGAGGGTGTACCGGCAGGCCCTCCGACGCAGTCCTCCGGACTTCTATCATGTATATTACTAATTACTATTACGGACTTGTGGGTTTTGATTATGAATTTAAAATGATAGAACATTTATGAATTGGATTTTTAATTATGAGTCAAAAAATAATATTAAAAAATTTAAGTCCGAATGCTAAATGAACAAATAGATCACATGAGGGGAATACTTGCTTTCTTATTAGACTTTTTTCATAGCATATGACATAATTCATTCTTTGTCGTATGTTTCCTAAATAGAATAAAAGTGGTAAGATTGTCGATGCTTTATTATTAGCATTCATAACTTTTTTTTGTTTTAAATTTTTTCATTTTCAGCTTTCAAGGGGGAAAAGATTAATATGCTTGTACTAACAAGTAATGCTAAATTAATTAAATAATCTGCATTAATTTATTAAATGTTAACGAGAATAATTAGGCACAAGCTACCAATAGTAGAAAAGGAAAAAAATAACTAAATCAATTATAAAAAAAATTGTACCTTGCTTAACTTTAGATTAAAAAATTATAAGTTTCTCTTATCTAATTTAGTTTACTATATTATGTATTTATACTATTTGATTCTTCTAAAATTATTTTCATCTCCTACTCAATTAATTCTCATGACCTATGCCCCTTCGAGGACATCCGGTAAAAAAAAAATATTTTCATGACCTATTCAAGTGAGTCTATTTAGTTGATTCATTGTCAATTTAGATATTATTTAAATTTTTTTATTCAATTTCTCAAATAATCATTTTTTACTTATATCTTTCTGTTTAAACCATTATCACTCTTTATCTTGAATCAAATTAGATAGATATTATTTTTAAATAATGTTAGGATTTTTATTTATTGATTGATGGTTTGTTTATATTTTATTATATTTTTAGAAGAAAAAAACAATTTGGACGACATTTTTTCATAGAAAAGGGACTCCAAAATCTCGGATCGGCCCTGATGCTAGCGATACAAATTATCGGAAAATAATAAGTTTGAACCCTATCCTTTCGGATAAACTTTTGTTACGAAAGCGATAACCGTCAATTTAATCTCAAAATATGCCCTATGTTTGGCCCGACTTTTCAAAGTGATTTTCGGCTTTAAAAGTTGAAGTTGGGCCAAACACCTCTAAAAGCTCGGCTTTTGAGAAGCTGAAAAAGCATTTTTGTATAACATAAAAGCAGAAACTCCGATTTGGAGTTTCTTCGAAAATCTATTTTAAAAATACAGGATTATCCTTACCATATTTTAATCTTAATTCAGAAAATATAATTTTATTTCATTTCAATCATTATAAAAATATTATAAATTATAAAATCATATTATTTAATATAAATGAAATTTAACAAGATCCATAATGACTATTTTTTATTGTTTAGAATTTTTATTCATATTTATATTCTAAATATTTTATAGTCATTCTACATAACCTCTCATATTAAAAAGTACTTCTAATAGTTTTTCAGCTAAACACTCAACTGCCTTTTTTTAAAGTACTTCTCTAAAAGCTCCGGCCAGAAATTATTTCTGCAAAAGTTAGAGAAGGACCAAACTGAGCTATGGTTAATCTATGAAAAAAGTTTGTACCCAATGCTTTGGCAGACCAGTCATTATGTCATTCCTAACGAAATAAAATATTATCGGTAGTTTTAATATCTCATATAAATCTCTTTTCTGCTCTTGACTTGGTGTAGGATCGATCTCTTTCATTCATTCTATGTTCTTGTTGAAATTCCTTGGACAATGGTCGGCTAAACCAATAGGGAGTGCTCCAATGGCTACTTCGTACCAATCACAACTGCATTAGTAATTACTTTTTATTAGTTGTTATCTTTTTCTCTTCCAATGTGGTAAACACGTTTGAGTAAACAAAACGTATCCAACTAGCAATCCTGCCCAGCCCTTCAGAATCAACATACTCCAGCGGAACATTCGACATCTTGACCCAAATCGGTAAAGCTTTTGTACCCAAATCCTCCACACTGATGCCCGGCGTCCATGGCCTCAAGTAAAGCAGATTGTCAAAATGAAACCATGGTCCATTTTCCAGAATCCATTCACAAGTATCCTGTGAAGGCAACTTGATCAGCAATAGTCGATCACAGAGAAATGAAATCCGAACCTGCCCGTCACGACCCCACAACTTATTCACCCATCTACGCAGAACGAACATCGGAGGAGGTTTCTGTAGAAACTGACCCACCAAACAATCCTTCCACCGAGCAGCCCCCGCCTCCCGAACAGACTTCGGCATTCGAAGACCGCCATTAACAACTTCCGGTGGGAAATAGCTCAGCCGATTGGCTTCAGAGATGCCAAACAATTTCGCCCAAGGCTTCGAAGGAATCCTTTGATCGATCGCCTCCGAAACCGGATGAGGAGCTGCCGATCCGGAAGCACTCATTGAAGAAAAGAAAAGAGAGGAAAACCAGAGATGTACCGGCGCCGATGTCGGCACGACCAGCTAGGCCGAACGTCGGGGAACCCTAGCCTCCCAGAACTCTACTTTCTCACTCTACAGTGCAATTTTTTTTAATATTAACTTTATATATGTTTTTTATTCCAAATAATACAACAAATTTGTTTAGGGTAATTGGTTATAATTCTTGTTTTTGTCTGAAAAGACTCTAGCTCAAATTTTAGAGCTTATATTTATTTATATAAAATAAAAAAATAATTCTAAAGATAATAATGTCATTTCTACCTTTATTCTGGTTATAGAATAAACAAAGCTTTACCATATATATAATATATGTTATAAAGGAAGATGTGTAGAGGTAAAGGTTGGTTATGAATAGGGGTGGGCAACGGGAAACGGGTATTTGGAGATACCCGTATCCGTCCGTTTTTTGAGGATTACGGGTACCCAAATACCCGTAATTTTTTTTACGGGATGGGACTTGGGATGAAGAATCACTACTTTGAATACCCGTGAGTTACCTGTTAATACCCGTTTGAGTATTACGCGTACCCGTTATACCCATTAATCCATGTCAATCTAGGGAACAAGGATGAGGTGTTGAGGCTGTGAGGCATTTCTAAAGCCAGCAACAGCATAATAGGGACTACTTGAACATGATGGGCACTTTGGTGAAACTGGGGGAGTATTTGCTGGAAGAATTGGGCCATTATTGCTGCTGGTACGTGGAGAAGGAAGGGAACATGGAGAAAGGTTTCGAGGCCATCAGAGAAGCTTTAACTATTAGGGTGAATAACGTTTGGTGGAGACCGAAATCTAGACTGATGTCGAGGATGTTGAGGTGGGTTGGCGAGAGTGTAGGCGCGGAAGATTTGCTAGGTGTAGTAGATGGGTATTTACGGGTAGTATGGGTACCTATTATCCGTCCCGTACGGGTAATGGGTACCCGTTAACCCGTACGGGTTTGAGATATGGGATGGAGATTGTTCTTCAAATGGGACTGCGTACCCGTTTCAAATGGGACGGGTATCCCGTCCCGTTGCCCACCCCTAGTTATGAATTACAATTAGGATAATTGTATTATCGGATTAAAAGAAAAACAAAAGATTATGATGACTTTTTCTTGGGAATCCGTAGGCACACTGGATTTGGACTTTTTGGATCCGTTAACGAGGCTCAAATCCAAATTAAAGATGAGCACCATTAAGATGGAAGGTCGGCCCATTACTATAAACATTAGATTTGATCCACCTGCTACACATACATAGCCCAACAATATCTACCAGTCCCCCGCGCGCCACATGGAAAAAGAGACCATCTGGGCTTGGGCCATTTGGTGCATATAAGGCTCATTGAGGAACTTGAGCATATTCCCAGCGTTTGTTCTGTTGAGCGTTGTGATTCTCAACCAAGGTTGAAAACGAAGGTAGGCGGATATTCGCTTCCAATTTTCCATACCGTCTGCACCTTCTGATTCTTCTCCGCCCAGAGACAAGAGATAAATAAATAAGCTGTAGTGTGTCTGTGTGTACTCTCATCTCTCTGAAGAACAGAGGGCCTTTCCAGCAGGCAGGCGTCTCCTTTCTCCAGCTCTGCACACCTGGTAAGTCGCTGCCCTTAACTCGATCGTTTCAAACTATTAAGAGCCGGCGCTCCATCCGACGAGCTTTGTTCTTTTCTGTGGGCTAAGTTTGCTCCCAGAAATTAATTGTTTGGAGGCATCTTGTGGTTCGGATCTCCTTGTACCGATCTTAAGTTGGGAATCGTTGGTCAGCTAACCAGTTTAGGAATTTTCTCTTTTAGGCATGATGATTGAGCCTGCCCATGAGCCTAATGGGCCAAGTTTGCTTTGTGGGTGGACCCTTGTTCCGGCCCACAGGAAGAAGAATGATCCAAAACGGACGGCAAACCGATGCGGGGAAAGGCGAGGACGGAGTTAGCAACCAAGCCGAGCGAGTCCGAAACGGAAAGAGATAGTTGGTAATTGTTCTCTCTCGTCTCCAGCCCCTCAAAATCTGGAATTTCGCCAACTGGGGATGCGTTTTCATTGGCCAAAGTAACGCTGTCATTTACTGATTACAATCAAAAGTGCGATTATCGTAATAAATTCATCACAAAATGTGATCTCTTGCAAGTTGCAAATAAAATGAGGGTAGTTGGTAGGTGCGACATTTGTGTGTAACGTGACCACTGAACACGCTTAATTAATTAAACTAAAAACAATAGGGGCCTGAATGCTGATGGAATGTGTTGATTTTAACGGTTATAATATTGATAAAATATTACTTAATACTGACTCACATTGCCAAGTGTCTTGTTTTTCCGTTATTTCAAAATCTAGCCGGGTCGGGTGCCCGGTGCCCCGTCCGTCCTCGGAGTCGGAGTCGGGCGCGTACTATTTTATTTTATTTTATTTTTCACACCAATTTCCTGTCCTTCCCACTGCTGTCTGCAGACTGCACGCTCGCTCTCACCATTTGAGCGCTCCCATCTCGTCCCTCTCCCACCATCAGCTATAATTCCCTTCAATTACTCTCTCTCCCTCGCTCTCCTCCCCACTTCCTTCGCTCCTCATCTCTTCCATCCATGGCGGACCACGTCGGCCACCACGATTCCCTGGTCGATAAGATCACCGAGAAGATCCACGGCCACGACGGATCCTCTTCCTCCTCCTCCTCCGATTCCGACGATGACAGCAAGCCTTCCAAGGTCGATGCCGTCAAATCCAAGATTTACCGCCTCTTCGGCAGAGACAAGCCCGTCCACAAGGTCTTGGGCGGCGGCAAACGTACTCTCCTCTCTCCTCTCTCCCACTCTCCTTTTCGGTTCCAATTTGTCGGCTCCGATTACGTTGTGTATGCTTTCTTGCATCGGATTGATCGCCGTTTCTTTTGTTATGGCGATTTCCAAACGAATCGCCTCTGTATGTGTGTTTGCCTAGTGTTTGTGGCTTACCTTGTTCCGATTGCGAGCGAACGATTTTTAGAAGCAGGTAGAATTGTACTGTATGTTTCATCTGTAATGGATGGCAAGGATTGACCGACTTCGTTTAGCTTAACTTGTTATAAGTTTTTTTTTTTTTTTTGCTCGAGAATTACTCTGGATCGTGTTCATTCCATTGATAATCTCAAATGCGCACCAGGTGATTTAGTGCACAGATGTTATTGGATTGCTAGATTGTACGTAGAATGAATGCTTGATGGAGCTAGAATGGAAAGGGAAGGTGTGATTCAATGCTTTGTTCTGCTTCCTAATTGTTTGCTTGGTTAAACACAGCTGCTGATGTTCTCCTGTGGAGGAACAAGAAGAATTCAGGAGCAGTGCTTGGTGTTGCAACTGTGATCTGGGTTCTGTTTGAATTGCTTGAGTATCATCTCATCACTCTAGTTTGCCATTTGTCGATACTCTCCCTGGCTATCCTCTTCCTGTGGTCCAATGCCTCTACCTTCATTAACAAGTGCGTGGTGTTTCTTACTTGTGTATCTTTTTATCGTTGTTTCTGTTTCCTCTGCTTCTTGTTTTCATTTACTGATTTGGAGCTGTCCTTCTTTGCCCAGATCACCGCCCCAAATTCCCGAAGTTGTGATCCCTGAGAAGTGCATCCTTGAAGTTGCATCTGCATTGAGAATCGAGTTCAACCGTGGGTGCACCGTTCTGCGTGAGATTGCATCCGGGAGAGATCTCAAGAAGTTTGTGATTGTAAGTAGCTTTGCTTCCTCGGGTTACAATTCTCGGATTATACGTCTTATTGTGCCCTCTATTCATTTTGGCTTCATTGCTTCCTCAGGTGATTGCTGGCTTGTGGTTTATCTCCATCATCGGGGGTTGCTGCAACTTCTTGACCTTGTTCTACATTGGTAAACAAAATTAACCACCCAATCACTTTCTTCTTCTGTGCTAGAAGCTTTCATTGGCACCATTTGCTGATTCGCGTTCCTTTTCTCAATGAATGAAACAGTGTTTGTGTTGCTACACACTCTACCCGTGCTGTACGAGAAATATGACGACAAGGTTGATGCATTTGCTGAGAAGGCGATGATCGAGCTGAAGAAGCAGTATGCAGTGTTCGAAGAGAAGGTGTTGAGTAAAATTCCTAAAGGGCCATTGAAGGATAAGAAGAAGGTTTAGAGATGATTGACTAAGGTTCTTTTAATTGATTGTGTACTTTCAGGGTTCCCATTTTTGAGTGGCTTAGTTCTGTTATGGCCCAAGCTCTAGTGTTCGTTCTGACTTTCATATTCTGAGAAGTGTGTGTTAACTTTCCACCTTATATCCACTGCATCGTATGAATGCTCCGAAGAATTTAGATGGAATATCGTAATCCGTTAAAGATACGGTGGTGAGCTCTAGATTACGTTTTATAGTGCAGAAATAAATTGATAGCGTTTGCATTAGAGAGATTCAATAGAAAGATGAACAATCACTGGTGGTACTGATAGTTTTGTGACAGTATATTCTTGCTTTGTAGTAAAGTACTTGCATTAAAAAGTTTAATTATTTCTCCTTTTAGCCTAAAAACGCATTTTTCCTTATAGTAGGCCATTGCATCATGTCTCCTTTGTTGTGGCATTGCAAACCACTTCTTACGCCGTCAATAACACTAACGCGAAGTGGGACAAATACTCATCTCTTACAAGAAAAGAGGTTACAGGAATTTCACGCCTGCAAAGAAAAAGGAAAAAATATATATTTATTAGCTTACGTTCCAGGAAAATCTAGTCATTTAGTCAGTCGGGTTGGATCCCATCCTTAAGCCCCAAAATTAAGAAGTTCCTTAAGTTTTGGCTAGCCAATAGGAAGAGGAGAGAGAGCGAAGGAAGATAACTAACTAAAAGCGCAAATCAAGTAGTTGCTTAATTATTTAATGTTATTAATAATAATATTTATTGCTGAAAAATAGAAAATACTCTTAATTCCCTAAGAAGTCGCACCTTCCCTTTCTGCAACACCCGCCTCTCTCTTCCCGGATAAAAAACTAAACCCAATATCAACACAGTTGGCCCGCATTATTAATGTTTATTAAACCTATTAGCATTAGTTGTACCTTGGACTTTTGACGTTACTAATGAAATTTGCGAATTACATAGCTGATTATTAACCATTAGTAATTATGTATTAACATTTTGTGAAGGGACAACCATTCTTTCTATTTTTGTGGTAAAGGTTCTCATTTTTTTTGTTGGCATTATTAACCTTTCATAGCTGGTTATTAATCATTGATGATTAATTGTTAACCTTTTTTATTATTGTTAACCATTAATAGTTGATTATTAACTTTTCGTAGCTGATTGTTAATACTTTCACTTGATAACGATCTTGCTAAAGAGCAAAGCATTGTTAACATTTTTTTTGTTTCTTTTTACAATATCATAGAACATTTACAATAACTAGCCATTAACTTATTAACAATTTCAACCCAATTGTTATCGAAGTAATATAATGTTATCAACATATATGCGCAATATCATTAACGATATACATCATCATTATTATTGGCATTATCAACGCAACATAATGTTGTTAACATTTATGTGTAGTATCATTAACGATATACATCATCATTGTTATTAGCGTTTTACGAAATCATCATCAACGATGTCTTACTATTTAAACGTAAACCATATATAGAACGTTTACAATGACTAAAATTAAATTATTTACACTCAAGGGCAAATTATTATTGATGTAATGTAAGATTATCCAAGTTTAGCGGCGGTCTCCGTCACGTCGTCGAGGGGAGGAAAGACGAAGTCGACGGCGGAGCTGGTGGAGGACTCACCGACTGAGATGGAGGCGATGAGGAAACCGCAGGAGACTCGTCTTGAGTGACAGGTGTCGTCCGTGGTTTGCCGACAAGGCGTGGAACGAAGGAGGAGATGATGCCGAAGAAGGAAGGAGCGTCGGATATGGAGAAGACAAGGACAAGGCCGGCGGAGACGTCGACCGCCGGGGAAAAGAAGTCAGAGACGAGGCTGGGGTCGGTTTTAGCTCCCCGCTGACTGCTGCTATGCTTGCCGCCGGTTGTCGGAGCCGCAGAAAAAATCTCCATGATTATTTAATCCAAGAGAACAGTAGGGGAAAAAACACTACAGCAAATTAACTAACGTAAAACATGGGGTTATTATCAACAAATAAACAACAATTAATTAAATTAAAATTACAATGCCAACACTACCCCTAACTACCTAAAACCGGCTAACTACCCTCTAACTACCAAGATTAATCTAATGGCCCATATTAACTTAAGGAACTTCTTAAGTTCAGAGGCTTAAGGATGTGAACTCATCCCTTTAGTCAGTTCATAACAATCTTTGTAAAGCAAGAGGCAAAACTTTGCCCTGTGAGAAATAGGCGTTTCAATGGGCGGAACCAAAGCTTTAGATTGTTGCTTTCTATTTATCTCATACCGAGAAGGAGGAGGATTGAAGCTAATTTCGGTATCTAAGTGTCGTTAAACTCTTTCTCCACCACAGTCTACAGAGCTCTCCTTGTTTGAGTTGCAGCACAAACCGTACTTGTGAGACTCCCTTGAAGACACATCCGACAAAATGAACAACTTCACTCGGCATTTCCCGGAGAGCAAATGAATATAGAACAATGGGAAACCTCTGCTACTCCTTAGCCAGATTTCAACCAGTGATGTGGTTCGGGTAAAACCATAAGTTGGACATGCATGTGAGGAACACAGATGTTACGAACAAGAATTGGGGATGAGAATAGAAAGATTAGGGTTGAGAATTGGGAATTAGGATGAGAATTGAGAGATTGAAGAGGAATTAGGGATTTGGGAATTCTGATATGATTATTCGTTAATCCAAAATAGCAAAAGTTCTGCTCTTTAAATAGTTCTCTCCCTAACAATAAATAATGACCCGAATACCCCTCCCTAGGCCAACTCTGCCCCTGCCTCTGTGTCGCTCACACTCTCTTCCCCTTCAGAACCGAGCTTGTCCTCAAGATCGAATGTAGGGTAGTTCTAACGGATGGTCTCCGTGTCGTCCCAAGTAGCCTCCTCTGGTCCGTGATGCTTCCATTGGATGAGGCTCTCCACCACGCGACGCTTGCCCCGCTTCGGCCAACGCGTGTTGAGCACCGCTTCAGGCTCTAGCTCTAGACTGCCATCTCCGTTGACGGGTGGCTCCGGTGGTGTTGCTGGTGGCTCCGCTCCATGATACCTACGTAGGAGGGACACATGAATTGTAGAATGAATCCGAGCAGTGTCTGAAAGCTATAGAATGAACCCGAGCAGTGTCTAGAAGCTGTAGACGATATGCCACAACCCCAATCCGCTCCAGCACCTGATATGGACCAAAATAACGGGCATCAAGCTTCTGATATGCTCTGCGGAACACTGATGTCTGTCGATACGGGTGTAATCAAAGCAAGACCCAATCCCCCACTGCGAACTCCTCATCTCGCCGCCCAGAATCGGCTTGCTGCTTCATCCGATTATTGGAGGCAGCCACCTGTCTACCACATCCACCGCACTCGTTCAGGACTAGTAGCGCGCCAGCATAGGCGGCGTCCGCACGTACAAAGCCTCGAATGGAGACATCTGGATCGACCGATGATAGGTGGTATTATACCACAGCTCGGCCCAAGGCAACATGGCAAGCCAACGTCGAGGCTGCTGGTGTGCAAAGCACCTCAAGTACTGCTCCAGTATCTTACTAACCGCCTCCGTTTGGCCATCCATCTGCAGGTGATAGGCTGAACTCATCTTCAGCTCCGTCTTAGCCATAGAGAACACCTCCTTCCAGATGCTGCCCAAGAAAAGAGCATCCCGATCACTCACGATCGATCGAGGAAACCCGTGATGTCGAATTACACCTCAGACAAGTTATTATTTCGGAGAAAGTTTTAATGGTGCGTGGATCAAGTTATGGCCAATATTTCCTTGTAGCTCGCACAAAAGTTGTTCTAGAAATCCTACTAACCAATCGAGAAGCATGGTGGCTAGCTATGCAATGCAGTTGATTTTAGAATATGCTAACATGATGAATTGTGATGGTAGATATTTGAATGGAGATATGAATCTTGATGATGATGTGGTAACCATTTTGTAGGTTGATATAACCTTGTGTTAGTGGCAACCTACCTTGCACGTTAATAACTTGGTTAGTAAGTTATGTTTTGAAATTGTTGATGTGCTTATGATGTGATAACCCATTATAGGTTTGAAACCTAAACATGGGAACCTGAGATGTCGTGTGTTGCCTTCATTGTTATGAACCACCTAACCTTATGTACGATCGATCATGTTAAGGATAAGTAAACGGATTCAGGGTACGACTCAAGGAAAAATTTCGGGGACGAAATCTTCTAAGGAGGGGAGAATTGTAACATCCCGTTCCGGCAAAACCCATATTTTGATCACTAGAAATTTCACGATTTAAAATCGAGTGTTTTGATAGTATTTCGACAAAAATCGGATTATCAATCGATCGGATAAACATAGAATATGTATAAGTATTTATAAAGATATATATATTATTACTATGTATACATTTATCTATCACAACAGTGCACGTGCGTGCTGTGTTGTCATGTGTGTTAGAAAGAAAAAAAATAAAAGGGCTGAAAGTAAAGCGGTCGGGACGCAAAATTCATTTAAATGCCCCCGACCTTTATGGGCCGTTTACTTGCCATTCCATTTCTGTTAGCTGCCACAACAGAAAACAAAATTAAAATGAAAACGAAGCTGTCATTTTCTGGAAAACAAAACCTGAAACAACCTTGTTTAGCTGAGAATTTGGTGAGTTCTGAAACTGAGTTCTGAAATGAAAACCTGGTTAGTGGCTTCATTCTATTTTGATTCTTGATTATCATACAACCCTAGCCATGATTATAATTTTTAATTTGAATAAAATAGTTTTTAAACTACTAATAAACACAATACAAGTACAACATCTTAAATTAATTAAGTACTAGTACAACATAAAAATTCAAATAAGTCCAGCTTGAAAGTCATCCCACAACTTGTTTGCTATTCCATCTCGTCGTACATCCATCGCTCGAGTTTGGCTTGAACTATGATTATATGCTTCTCGTTCTTGTCCTCCTTGCACTCCATTGGCAGTCTCCCCCGTGCAATAATTTTGATATTCTTCAAACATAGTGTCGTCACCAGAGTGGATCCTAATAAAGTTATGTATAACACAACATGCAAGAACAATGTGTGCTTGTTTCTTAAGAGCGAAAGGAGGCATATGCTTCAAAATGGGGAATCTAGCCTTCAAAACTCCAAAACAACGCTCGATAACATTGCGTAGAGATGAATGATAATAGTTAAAAAGTTGTTTACGAGTCTTTGGTCCACCTCCACGATCGATATCTTGAAAATGACGTGCTTCTTTTGTCTTATATGGCGCTAGAAACCCAGGAATGTTTGCATATCCAGAATCAACAACATAATAC